AGCACGACTACATTTGAAACGTTGGGATAAATCTAAATGAGGTAAATTTAATCTTAGTTTCATTAATGCTAATAATAATTGATCCTGAGGGCTTATAGTTTTTACATTCCACCCCAAAAAATAAATTAAATTTACATCTTTTAACAACTCAAAAAGAGAATTAAAAACTTTTGAATTTGGTAAACCAGTATAAACATTAACCAATTCATCACTGTTGCATATAGTCACATAAGAAAATGCAACAGATAGCTTATACAGTTTACTTTTCAATTCTTCATTTTCTTTCTTAAGGAAATAATTTTCAGTTTCTAATAGTGTTACACTTGGAATTGATTGTGTAGGTAAATTCGAAACAGATCTAAAAAAAAAATTATACAAATATAATAATTTAATATCCAATGAAATATTAAATTGTGAAATTAGAAATACTAATATTATAAAATTAAATACCTAATAAGAACATTGTATCATCTATTTCAAGAGTGGCACTACTTTTAGATTAAATTAGTAAAAATAATAATATAAAATCAAATTCTCATCCAAAATCAATATTTTTTAGTTTTATAAACCATTTTCAAACAATTTGAAATCCTAAACCCCCGAGTGTAATTATTTTATCTTTCAAAACAATATGTATTATTTATGATAAGTATAAAACTACTAAATTATTTTGAATTGAAGGCCATAGATATATATTTATACACCTACATTTAGTACATGAAACATTACAAAATATCTAATCTATTTGGTATAGATGAATTTAATAATAAAAGTACTAACTTTGAATCTAAATTCAGATCCATCTTTTTATTCAAATTCAATACTTGAATTTCCAAATCTTCAACTTGAGATTTGATATTCCTAGACATATTATAATTAATATTCTTAAATAACAAAGTTTCTTACATAGGTACTTAAACGTACCTATCAACGTCTAATGCATTTTCTGCATTCATCTTGAATGGTTGCATATCTGTAGGTATGGTTACTTTATTAGTTCTTTGATTTCTTTTTTTTAGGGGGAGTGTTGGAAAATCACTGACAAAAGCCTTTTTTAAGTGCTCTTGCAACTCCGGACCATTAATTCGAAGTCCATTTTTAAAATGACAACTACAAACAACACATCCACGACCAGGTTGGTCACTTCGTCTATAATTTTTTACATTAAGTACAGATTGGTACCATTTGGAATATATTATCATTTTGTAATACAATACATAGGAGGAAAAAACTTACTTAAGTAATTTTAACCACCTGTTACGAGATTTTGTATCTTTAGGAAATGTAAAAAATTTACACTTTTCTCTTTGGTTGTGATGATTACATCCAACAGCCCAACAGTAACCCATATTAATTCTTTTATAAATAATAAAATATAATATACGTTTCAGTAAAAAATAATTACAACAATTAAGTAAAAATGAAAAGGCTTTAGACTTCACTACTTGAGTAAATGTAAATAAATGTGTAATGATTATAGACTAAAAAATAATCATAATATTAAATATAGATACATAGATATCCATGCCTAATGATTTCCGAAAACTAGAAGGAATATAATATTATGTAAAATTGCAATATATCATTACGTATTATTTATATCCTAGATTGTTTTTTTTTATAGTGTACATTTGTAATTGAACTTTTTTCCCGCCAAATGTATTTCTTTAGTAAATTTAAAATTACAAAAGAATTAAGTTTAAATCGAATAACTATATAATTCACCTTTTTACGGTGAACATTATGCACCGAAAATTGTGTGTAAAATATACTTATTTTAATTAATTAATTAATTTCCAAATTATTCGCTGTATATTTCTTATGGGTGGAATTTTTGTTTGGGTTTCGAGTTGTTACAACGTCTTTGGAACGACGATAACACGTTATCACTAACATCGCGTATTGGTTAATAATCTTCCATACAACAACATAGGTATTACCATTGTTCTGTGGTATTACTTGTATAGAAATTTGCACGTCAGTTCGTCAGTTATCGGACAATTTTGAATTTACAATTTTATAATTTTTGTAAGTGTTAATCATTAATTAGTCAGTGTTAATGTTGTTACCGGTTCAACAATGCGTCGATTTTTCTTTTTATTGTTTCTATAAAGTGAAGAATATTTAGAATAATAAAATACTGGTGAATACTGAGTAAAACATTTCTACTTTCGATTGTGGATTTTGTGAAACAGTACTTAAATGTTCCATTAGTGTAGGCGTATAGTGACATGGTGTTCATACATTGAATACTAACATACATGCATAGTATTAAAATCAACAATTAAAAAATGGCCATTAAGAGATCTATTGTCAACTTGTTTGAGAAGTCGGGTAATGTCGGTCCACAGCCAAATTTGCTGAAAATGCTTAAAGACAAATTTCTTGAAATGAATTGGAAGGAATTTTTTGCGTTGTTCATGGATGCAACTATATCTGTTATAGTTTCACAAGCCCCAATCAATTGTGTAACAGTCAACAATATGATCAAGTTTGCTGCTAGTAGTGTATCTATATTATCTGAACACTCAACTAAGGACGGTCGCAGTGGTTTGTACTTGATATCTGAGTTTTTCCAATTGTGCCGTGCATATGGACATGCCAGTGATAAAGCTATTAGATATAGGTTTTGTCTATTTCTTAACCACTTGTTGAATCACATGACTGAAGGAACAGTTTTATCTGTAGAATTATGTGAAGTTGCATCAATGTTGTTGGTAAACCGCGTACAAGACAAGAAACCAGAAGTTCGAGCACAAGCTATACATGGTCTACGTTTGTTGCAAGCAACAGACAATCCTAAATGTCCCATTGTTAAAAAACTCATGTTCCATATGACTTGTGATTCTAGTGTTGAAGTTAGGACAGCTGCTGTTAAAGGAATTGCAATGTTTAACAATGTTGTTGAAGAAATCTTGAATAACACATTATTTGATGTTAGTGATAACGTCAGAAAAGAAGCTTACAATCGTTTGTTAGAATATCCATTTGCAAGGTTTTCGTCCAAGCAAAGACAAATAATATTGGAAACAGGATTGGAAGATAAAAATGAATCTATTAAATCATTAGTGAAAAAACGATTTTTGGAGAGCTGGTTAGATGCTTGTGACAATGATTTTGTAGAGTTATTGATTAATTTGGGAGTGGAAAATGAAATTATATGTGAAACAGCTTTGAATATAATATTTGAGACCTATTATGACAGTCAAGTTTTGGATTTAATAAATACATATTTAGATATAGATTCAAGAATGATTCCATTTGATAAATTAACTGTAGAAAAAATTTTTCTTTGGAAATGCATAGCCAAATATTTAACTACCGAGAAAAAAATTGATTTAGCTCGCCACCAAGGACATGTTGATGACCATTTCATTGATGTTTTATTACCAGATTTGGTAAAGTTTTCTGATTATATACGCGAATACTATTTTAATTCTACAAATAGTGAAGAATTTATACTGATACAGTTGTTGGATATGACTAGTGAATTTGCAATAGATGATGTTGGGGCAAATAGTCTAAATAAACTTTGCTTAGATTTGATATTAGATGATAATACGTCTGTAAAACCAATCAAATCTGTGGCAGTATTATTTGGTTTAACTTTTATTAATGGTCAAGATCTTTTAAATTATGTTAAACTAATCTTAAATAAAATTCAAACAAAAACTATTGATGTTTACCCTTTAGTTGATAAAGTTGGTACAAAAGAATTGTGTGAACATAATTTAGAATCACTAACTGATAAAATTGAGGAACTATTAAAAGATGAATCAGACGAAGTTACAGATGAAGTAGAATCATTAATAATTAAATTGAAGAAATGCAAAAAACAGTATAAAGAAATAAGTGTATTGCCAGATGAAATAATATTAGCAGATATGGCTGTAAAAAATATACTCAAGGTGTTTGAACTGATTTTTCAAGTACAACAATTACAAAAAGTTGGTACTGAATTTTCTCTCTTAACAGATATTGTTCAGAACATTGTTGTTGGTTACTTGGATTGTTCAAAGGTAAATGTACGAATGGGAGCAATTCGTTCTCTTTCACCATACTTGTTGGTAAATAATATTTCTGCAGCCAAAGAACACATGAATACTTTATGTAGTGAAATAGCAAAACCTATGACTGATAGGCACTTGTTATTTCAAATAATGTTTGAACTGTTCATGCGTTATGATCTCAAAACTTTTGATATGAACGAAGACTTGGATACAGATGAAGAATATGAAGATGACTTTTGTGTTGATAATATTTTACCATTACTAGTTAATTGTATTGATTATGAAATCGACGATAGTAGTTTTAAGTCAGTGGTCTTAAAAGGTTTTTGTGACTTATTGATATTTAGCAAAGTCAAGTCCATAAATTTACTATCTAAACTTTTGATAATATGGTTTAAACGTTTAACACGTGATACATTCAGTATATACAATCATTTGGTAAAATTTTTTACATCTTATGTGTTTTACATTGATTCAAGTAGTAGTGTATTGGCCATGTGCTATGTTCCAGTGTTAAAAGAGATTAATGATTACAATTTAGGAGAAGCGTTGGATATTAAAATAGATGAAGTGAACTCAACTTTAATAAACCTCACTCGAGGACTCATGTACAAGAATCAAAAAAAGGCTGTTAACGCTCATGGTGAACTGGCATGTTACATACTTGATTATTTACTAGAAGAAGACCAGCCATATATGGCTATGTTAGTTGATACCCTGTATAAGTTGGAAATTGACTTTGACAACAGCAATGGATTGGTAAACTCAATTGGCCCAAAATTGCTGCGTGTTATCAAATATTTAAAAAATTCAGATGACAGAAACAGTTCAAAATATTTGAAAAAAATTAAAAATAAATTTGATCCAGTATTGCAGAAAAAGGAATCTTTTATGAAAAAAAATAATAAAAAGAAAGTTGATGCTACTGAAAAGGGAGTTGGTTCTACTGAAAAAGAAGTTGATTTCACAGGTAAAGAAGTTGATTCTACAGAAAAAGAAGTCGATTCCACAGAAAAAGAAGTTGATTCCACGGAAAAAGCAGTTGATCCCTCAGAAAAAGCAGTTGATCCCACAGAAAATAAACTTGATGTTACTGTAACAGATACAGATCAGACCCAAGAACCTTCTACTAGCAACCAAGAACCAGACTTGATAGAAGCTCATGATGATTTGTTTTCAGAAGATAATTTAATTATGATCCCGAGTAGTGATGATGAAGACAACAGCATAGACGGAATTCAGACTACAAAACTGGATGCAATGAAACGTATGTCAGAGGTATTCAAAAGAAGTTTCATCTCAAATGTAAATACATCTGAATTAACTGATGATGATGGTGATTAATTCAATTAATTTATTATTTTATCATTAAATATTAAGTGTAGAACTTGCTCAAAATATATTTTCTGCTGTTTGTACTACTTGTCATTACTTTTGTACTAGTGAAAACTTAAAACATCAAGTATTGGTCATAATCTGTTAGGAATATTTGATAATATTTATTTTGTAATTTGATTTTTTAAAATAAGTTAAATATAATGCTTTTTATGTACAACAATTAATATATAATATTATGTTCCAGTGGACTTTAACAACATACGTTTTATGTTGAAGTAGAGTGTTTGAATAAATATGTTTTTATATATATTCTTGTATATTTACTATTCTTAATGAACTGTTGAAATAATTTTTATATACTACTTAAAATTGAATTTTAGAAATTTTAGATTAGTGGTTTCCAAACTGTGCTCTAAGGGACGCCTACGACACTCCAGGGCTATACAAAACAAAAATATATTAACGATTTGCAGTCTTTAATTTTATTATAACAATTTGTTTATTTGTTAATAACATGTTGATAATACTTTTACATAACAAACTATTCGATAGATTATCAAAGTGTTGTATGAACTTCTTGTCTAACTATTTATCAAGGTGATGATATCCACCTTCATATATGTTTTCCTAGTTTTTGATGCCTACAACTTAAAATCTTTCGTCATATATTCACATTATATACATAACTTCTTCTAGGATCTGCTATGCCAGTTTTGTCAAATTTCAAACTAGATTGATATTTTTTACCAAGCTAATTGGTGATCAGTGAAAATTACTGTTCATTTTTTAATCATGTTCCTTCCTTATAAGTATGCCAGTAGCAGGGCGTGAGATTTTTAGTAGAGGACACACTGAAAAAAAATAGCACTAATACATCTAGACTCCTTTTTCTATTTTATCTATACAATAAGAAATAAATGTTCAAAAACAAAATGAAATATTATATTTGAAACGTTACGACCTCCTTAAAATAATAATTTAATATAATAGCAAATGGATCATAGCAAACAAAATAAAATGTAATATAATATACTGTATACATGCAACTCGCATTAAGATGACGTTTAAAAAACAAATTCATGTTAAATCTATTTTTGTCTTAGAAACTAAGTCAATGACATTAAATTCAATAAGGGACATGGTCTTTTATTTTTTAATTCAATTTTTTTTCCATATAGGTAGTTAATAATGTTATCGCTCATAATGGTTAAATCACCAACCATGAGGACAAATTACTATATAAAAACAATAAATATTAAGGAACATGTATGATGTGCCTATCTTGATGGCGATGTCGATAATTGAGGACCAAGGTATTATTATGAACAGCGAGATGCGTCTCATAGCATAGAAAGTAAACCCCACTCATTAAAAATCTCCCTGTACCCGTACTCTCATACTCGCGAGACGTTGTGTCGTGTTGGTATACCATATCTGGAAGCATATTAACAAAGTGTACATGATCTCGGCACTGCATACAGAATAACCCATTTTCATTGGCCGATTCAAAACTTATTCATTTTACCGCGCATTTTACTGCC